CCAGTAAAAGCAGTTTCACCAAACACAAAGTTGGTGAAAAATAAAAATGTTTGCAGGGTTCTAGTTTACCTCTACTTCATAAAAAGAGGGTTGATTGCAGTCTGTCTATGCAAAGCTAATATCCTGCTCTGGGAACAAGACATTTCTTTCTGCTCATTATCTTCTTGGGCACCCGTCCCCCCACTGCCCCTGTAAGTCCTCCTGCCTCTGGAGTCCAAGAGAAGACCTGGCCGCTGGAAATGTTCCTCCACCATTAGGAGGTGTGGACACATGAAGAAGGCCCCCAGGAAGTAGACAGAAGAAGAGAAAAGGATCATCATGTGACAATGGCTTTAGATAGATAAAATTTACATTTTTTCATACTAGTGATTAATTTGTTATTTTGTTTTGCAAGATCGGACACAAATCTCTAGAAGGTTTCAACAAAAAAGCTCTGATTTATCATTGGTAGCTCAATAATGTGTGGGCAACACAGCAAGACCTGTCTCTGCTGCCTTTTTGGTTATTTTCTTTGGGATGCATGCATGTGCAAATACCCAGAAGTATAGTTTTGAAATGCAAAGGATCCCATTGACCACTCTAGACCTTTTCTGGCCTGACCATAGAGGAGCAGGGGTGTCATGATGCACAGGTTCTTGTGGCACATTCATGTATGACCAAGTGGTAGATAATGCAGAAAATTATATTCAGGAAAGATGGGTGTCATTGGGTCTTTCCACTGATTAGGAAGACAAACCTTTCCCCCTTGCAAGGGAAGCAGATACAAGGAGACCACACACCACCTATTATGTTCCTTGAAGAACTTCTTCCTGTCCATGTTGCTTTCTATATATTTCTATATATTTTACTGCAAAGAGACTGGCCACATTACTGGGGTATACTATTTCTGTCCCTGTCACTGTCTTTATTGTAATTGAACAGCCAAAGACTGTGTTCCCTATACAAACGTCTCTGTCATTGTACGGTTGCCAACAAAGCATCGTTTAGCCCTGCAGAGTTATAACGTGGTTCTCTCTGTAATTGTGTCTGTCTTCCACACCTTACCATATTTAGGAGTTAATTTTAGGAACAAACTGTTCCATGGCCCTGCTTTCAAAAAGGAAAATGTACCCTTTAGCAGTACATCCACTGCATTACGCAATATATACAAGGTGAGATAAGGTAGTGAAAACCTGAATTGAACAGATATATTCAGTCTGAAAAATTAAAAAAAATATTATCCCTACCTTTTTCCTACTCCTTTAGGAACAGACTGGAAGCAACATGCTATCCAAATTCAAGTCAATCACTCTTCACTATGCTGACTGTTATACACCAATGAAAAATGGAACAAGACATGTTATTACAAAACTTGCTGTTAGCCTTTTCTTGTGAAATAATCCCTTTAAGCATGTGGACAGGGAAACAGTAATTATAGGGGACCAGGCAAGATAATGTCTTCTGGCAATTTTCTGAATTCATGTAATAAACAATGAACAAAACAGCAATGTGATAATAGTCACAAGGATCTACATTTACCATACAACACTTTACAGTTCCATAACAAGGCAATAGCAACATGAATAACTTGCAGGTGGTATTGGGCTTGAGGAGTGCACCTAAAGGCAAAACTTTCTTTTGATTTATTTTAGATACAGCAAAAAACTGTTATTCCCCATGCCAGGATTTTTTTTCCATCTGTGCCCCTTTGGGGAGATTTGCCTTCACTTCCTGTCCAACAGCCAGAGCAGGAAGTGAGAGGGAAACCCTTCAAATGAGGAAATTCCTGGATGTCACCAGAATTATTGTCCCCATTAGAAATTTACCCCTCTATTCCTGTTTTGAGGACAACCCAAAAACAGGGATTTTATTTCAATTTTACTCTTGGTGAAAATGGTAAACAGGACAAATAGAAAGGGTGTATCTCCCTAACGAAGACACTGACAGAGGTAAAAATCTGACAGGTGTTACAATCCCTCTCAAACACTATCCAAATGTATGAAAAAAAGTTTTGTTATAGTGTAGGCAGGATCCCTTGGTTGGTTTAAAGCAACAGGGTGCTGCAGTGGGGTGCTGTAGGGCGCAAGGGTGCACTAATCCAAATACAGGTTGGAAAACAGGGTTCTCCTCCAAACACACATAAATCTCCAGGAGTAATCTGGACCATCCATACTCTGTTCCTGCTCCATGGGAACCTTTCCCTGCACTCGGCTTATCTCTAGCCAGTGTGTATGCATCTCAATAACCCTAGCCAGCATATCTCTGTCCTTCTCCAACAGTCCTGACATTACAGGACTCCCCATGAGACCCAGAAGGGCTATATATAGCCTCCCTGTGTATAAGATAGATGCCCAGATTTTAGGAGCGTTTGTATCCAATCAATCAGACACAGGCTCCACCAAGATGGCACCCAGAGTCCATGGTAGAAACCACATTGATACCATACCTGACTGTGTCCTTGATGGAACAAATGGGAAGAACTTCTTTGGCAAAACAACTCCAATTGAGGAACTAAAGACAGGTGGGGGTATCTAGTGGTGAAAAGTGAGCGCTATGTGCCTAACACCTTGCTACAAGCACAAATGCAAAACTAATTATTGTCTTGGACCATTTTAATCAAAGTAATGTAAGTGTTACAAAGCAAATAGTAAGTGTGTTGTAAAATTACTCAGTTTTGTACTGCAATTCGGGAGCAGCAGTGGTGCAGTTCAGATGCATAGTTACATAGCTACATAGTTAGTCTGGCTGAAAAAAGACAAAAGCCCATCCAGTTCAACCATAAAAAAACCCAAAAAACTTATAATCCTACACCCACAGTTGATCCTGAGGAAGGCAAAAAAACCCAGCAAAGCATGATCCAATTTGCTCCTGCAGGGGAAAAAAATCCTTCCTGATCCCCCAAGAGGCAATGGGATATTCCCTGGATCAACTTTACCTATAAATGTTAGTATCCAGTTATATTCTGTGTATTTAAGAAACAATCCAGACCTTTTTTTAAAGCAATCCACTGAGCTGGCCAGAACCAACTCTTGAGGGAGACTATTCCACATTTTCACAGCTCTCACTGTGAAGAAACCTTTCCGTGTTTGGAGATTAAATTTATTTTCCTCCAGACGTAAAGAGTGCCCCCTTGTCCTCTGTGATGACCTCAGGATGAATAGCTCTACACCGAGTTCACTATATGAACCACTGCTGTATTTATACACGGTGCATTCTTATTTGAATAGCAATGCAATTTTAATGCAGCTGCATTTTTCAGAACTGCATTCTGCATAGGTCTTTCTCTGTCTCCTCTAGAAGAAATTGCTATGCTGATCTCTCTGCAAGATAGACTGCGATTCCCATTCTACTGATTGCAGTGCGATTTCAGAACGCATTGCTGCAAACTGGCACACAACCTTTTCTCAAAAATGCACTGCAGATTGAATGGATATATCTGAACATCCTCCATAGGAACACATTGCAATTCTGTACTCATGCGAATTTGCTGCCTAAAAATGCATCCAAAACCACACAAGTGTGAACTAGGGCTTAATGTAGCATGACTGGATCTCCAGAGCTGCTTTTCGATGATTAAAGCTACATGTCAAGTTTTTTTAAAAAATATGCTGTTGCTATATATTGTCAGGTATTTTTTCCTGTAGGCTTGTAAAGTTACTGTAAAGGCCACTTTAAGCGCATATAAGGAAAGCAGTCTACCTGCTCAGCACTTCCCTTTTTCATCCAGGCTCTGCTGTAGTGAACCCCACTCTATACTGTTGACACTGTGGCAGGGGCGGACTGACAACTCATGGGGCCCCCGGGCAATAGGGGATCATGGGGCCCCTGTGTCCTTGTCCAAACTCAAAAAAGCCTATGAAAAAGGTACCAGGGGCATCTCATGGGGCCCCCTACTGACCCTGGACCCGAGTTTCCAAATGGTCAATCCGTCCCTGCTCTTTACTGTCCTTCACATACAGGCTGATGTGTCAAAGTGTCTATACTAACAGATTTATTACCATAAAAATGTGCATGTGACCGATCACACCCAAAGCTGAGGGAGAGGATAGTACACAGCGCAAACATTAGGTAGCATCTTCACATTCTTAGTTCAGCACGGTTGCAGGGTTTTCCAAAGAACAATATAAGTTCATGGAATGGATTTACTTCTTCCCGGTTGTTGTTATTCAAATTCAAAGTTTCCTGTTTGATTGAAGTGTGCATTTAACTCATATTGCCTACTTCATCACAATAAAGGTAGATGAAATGGAAAATGATCCATTTGGTTTATGTTCCCCTTTAAGAATATGTAGGCCATAGTAAAATGTTAAATGCTTTACAGTCTACCCAGAGCCGCTCCTTAACATCGGTAGAGAAATAATTCCCATGTTAAGTATATTCTCATCTCCACCACTAATGCTCACTAATCTCTATTTAGAATAGAAGGCCATAAAGCACCGGATTCAGCTTTTGTCTCATGTAAACAGATGTGTGTTGAAAAAAAGTTACTGTGTAACCGTAAAAATGCAAATATACCAAAAAAGCTCAATATATATATTAACATTTGTATTTTATGTAAAGAACAGGTATGATCTGTGTTTCAGTGTGCTGCATGTTTAACCACTTGCCCTCCAGAGAATTTACCCCCCTTTCAGTTTAATTGACAATTGCGTGATCGTGCAGTGCTGCTCCCCCAAATTAAATGTGTGTCCTTCTTTCCCACAAACAGAGCTTTCTTTTGGTAGTATTTGATCACCTCTGTGGGTTTTATTTTTTGCGCTATAAACAAAAAAACCCCCGACAATTTTGAAAAAAAAAAATATTTTTAACTTTTTGCTATAAAACATATCCAGTAAAAACATTAAAAAAATCTAATTTCATCATAAATTTAGTCCAAAATGTATTCTGCTACATGTCTTTCCTAAAAAAAAATCCCAATACGTGTAAATTAATTGGTTTACGGGAAAGTTATAGCTTCTACAAATGGTGGTATATATACTGGATTTTTTTTTCTTTTACTAGTAATGGTGGAAATCAGCAACTTATAGCGGGACTGCAGTGGGCATTCTGACACTGGGTTGGAACCAGTGACACCCCAGTGACACCAATACAGTGATCAGTGCTAATAAAAAGCACTGACACTGTACTAATGACACTGGGCAGGAAGAGTTTAACATCTGAGGCGATCAAAGGGTTAACTGTGTGCTGTGTTTTACAACATGTGCTGTGTGTGTTTTACTTGGGAAACATGCTGCTGTGTATTTTTCTGCTGTGCTGTGCAGAGAAATACACAGCAGCATGTTACTGCTGGCAGGGGAGAGACCTGTGTTGCTTACACACAGGTCTTTCCCCCTGTCAGTGTTACTCGGCGATCGCCGGGTGCCAGCGGAGAATCTCCAGCTGGGACACGGTGATTGACATCCTACCTGGAGATGAAAATCACGTATATATACGTGATTTTGCGCAGCCCTGCCACCCTGGGCGGCGAGCAACTGGTTAAAAAATAAAATTCTGCTTGCTACATCTTTGGAGTAGTATCCAACAAATGTACAGTTTATTCCTCGTTCTTTTGGGTGAAAGCTTCACGTGATGCAATTGCGGCAACACCGCACTGTGTTTAGGTGCTATTGAAAATGGATGGCACCCGAACATGTGTGCTGCATTTTGCCAGCATTGTAGTACGACTTGGTAATTGCTTAAAATCGCTGTGATTCCAACTGCGTTCCCAAATCGCTAGATGTGAATGGGGCCTTAAAGGCATGAATGGGGCCTTAAAGGCATGAATGGTACAACAGTTAAATACGAGTAAAACACATGCACTGTGCGAAATTAAAAATCCCCTTACCCCCTTTCACCTACATTTCTTAATGCAATGGCATCTGGGATGCAGATCACCGTAACTTTTTATTCCTGTGGAATTCCCAGGCCCAGCTAATAAAAAACACAACTCCATAAAAAATAAATAAATACACAGCCTATTAAATGATAAAACTAATTAAACCAGCTTCTGCTTCAATATTCATCTTCATTTAAGAGATTTACCCTGCAGTTGCTTTTTTCCACCACTAGATGTCCTCAGTCTGACAGCCAGCATTATTCAACCCACTTCCTCTAGCCCAGATCATCCTGGACCAGCCTCAACCTGTGACCTGACAGGTTGGAGAAGCAGCACACTGCTGAGCTCATATCTCTGCCAGTCTGTTCTCTCCTCTTCTCAGCATGTTCTTGGCAGCGCATGAACTGCTTCTTCATCTTGCACTTCAGTCCTGATGTACAGGGACTGCAAGAGGCTGATACTAGGTATAATTCAGATACGTACACTACTTGCATTTAAAAAATATATTTAAGTAATAATGTTTACAGGGACGCATTCATTTGTGTCCTTTATATGTGCCTAGATTAATCTTTAACTTACTTTACTATACGGACTAAAGCTGGCCATGCTATAGATGGATTGAAATTTGGCTGGTTCAGCAGGGCCTGACCGGATTTTGATCCATCTATGGCCTTTGAAGTTCAATATGAGTTGATCTAATGATCGACTCCTCTCAGACAAGACTGTTGGTACATGTTTGTTTTATCAGCGCTGCAGCTAAACGGAGGAGTCCCCACTGTCAGAATACAGTAGTGAAGCTGAAAGAATTCCCCCCTCCACTGCACTTGCATGGATGGGGGAATCTGATCAGATTTTTCAATCAGCCTGCTGATCTATGGCCAGCTTAAGGCCTCATACACACAGAAGCTAAGCAGCTACTGTGCACCAAGGTGTAAAATCCCTGGTACTTTCTGGCTCCTGGGAAGACGCACATGCTTAGGTAAACGTCCACAACTTCTGCATCAGGATTTATCTGCACATGCATGTAAGCAGGTAAATCTTGTGTTAAATGTTTTTTCTTTAATGCTACATGCTCTGAGTTTGGTTATTCTAACTGTATTTGTCTGTAAAAACCATGTGGCAAAATTTAGGATATTCGTACTGTTGACCTTGGTTGACCTGCTGAGCTAGTGGAAGTGTTAACAGTGCTGGCTAGGTTTTCCTGCTCTTTTCAGGAAGTTATACCATATAAATAGGTGCTTATTAATGACCAAGGAGGGAGAGGAAAGAAGGCAGTTCAAGATGTAGCCGTTACTCTGTCGCACTGTGTCCCCTTGTGAGAGCCCAGTCAGTGTTCCAAGGGGTATGGACTATATGAACTTAGGCTACCAGATGCTGGACTTATATAGATTACTGCTACCTCATGTGGATTTACTACCAATAATGGACTCCTGCCTTGAAAAAAAACTTTTTATGGATTTTACTACCTAACTCAGGTATGACAACCTCATTGGGCACTACAGCAGGGGCACTTATCGGACTCTGTTAGAGATGTGTATTGAAGGTGATATCAAGTATTGTTCAAATGTCTCATTTAACTACTTCATTAAAAGATTCTTATTGCTCATCTAACCTGCCTGGTTTGAAGTCCCTCAAGGGGGCATGCATGGCGTATCAAAAGAACAGGGGACATGAGACTTTATAGAAGATACAGACTGAGGTCTAACGAGAAGAGGATCTGCCCTAGTGAAGCTATATTGCCATTGCTAATGACTATAGTACTTATGTCAAATTTTTTTGATTGCTTTGGATAGAGCTGAGATTGATTAGAGTTTTATATTGCTGTCTGTGCCCCCGTTAGAGAGATCCACCCACTCTATTTGTCTTGTTTACCGTTATTTGTGAAAGTAAAAGAAAATTCCAAAATTTTTGGGTTGTCCCCAGAACCAGTGTGGTGAGCGTTCCTCCTAGGCTTGATATATTGGTGTTGCTGGCAGCCCCCTGTGCGTGGAGGAATACAATGCAGATGGATTTCCATACTGTGATGCCCTGTCTGTGCTAAGAATGCTGTCTGCTGCCTTTCTGAGGCAGCTTAATAGCTGGAAAGTGTGCATAAGTGGTGGTTTGGAGCAACATGTGGTGATATATTGGGACTGTTGGATGAATACTACATACGGACAACTGTTGGAGTTATTATTTACAACTAGGAAGAGTAAAATGTTTGTTGGCCTTTTTATGCATAGTCATGTTTTTGTTGGTTATTTTTGTCATATGTATATTATTTACACTTAGGTGTTTTGACTATAAGAATGTTATATCCATTCTTGATCACGTGGGTACTGCACTTTTGTTTTCACATTGGGGTTTGTATACTTCCCTTACTTGCTAGCTGCCTTACACTTATCTGATTTCAGACGCTAAGGAGGGTCAGGCCTGGTTAGTACTTGGATGGGAGACTGTCTTACCTTCCTAGCGCTGACTATTCCATTTGAGTTTTAATGCTGATTTCACTTGAATCCAGCCTCTGCTCCCCCCCACTGGAGGAACAAGCAAGAGCTAGCTCTGGGGTTCCTTTTTTCAGGCGCTAAGCCCCAGCTACATGCACATACAGCATTTCTCCCCAAATGTGAAAGTGTCATGAGGTCTAAAGGAGAACAGAGCCTTCCAAACTGAGACACACGCTTTTTTTGGTTGAACTGGATGGACTTTTGTGTTCTTTCAGCCAGACTTACTATGTAACTATCTTGTAATGGGCAGGTTGCTGACATTGAAGTGTTACCCTTCACTCCAGTAGGGATCTAAAATAGCAGTTCCACTTTAATATAACTACATGACATCATTTATATATTATTTTTGCTCTTTTGTGAAATACCGCTGTTGCTTACTGTCTGCTGTCAGAGACAGTGGACTTACTGACTTATAATTAAAACCCTGTTGCAGATTGTTGAGTAATAAAATACAGTGTGAATGTGTGTGGCACCTCGCCATTTACTTTCACATTAGGGCAATGAAAGAAGACCGCACTCTGTTCTATGCTAGTAAATAACTTCCTTTACTGTGTGACATTAGTCATTTTAAATGACGTACGTAAGACTGTTATGAAGTTTTTTGCATGCTAAATATTGATGCCTTACAGCACTTCTGTGTTCAGTTCCTCCATGGTGTTTATATATTTACTTGTACTAACAAGAGCCCCTTCCGGGCACTCTGGTTACCTCCCAAAAATGTACTGGCAAGTTAAATGACTTATGCCTAGATTGTTCTGGAATGTGTGGGTGGGCTTGTTATTCTGGAAGGAACAGTGGAGTGTAAGCTCTGCTGGTTAAAAAAACAAAATGCAAATTTCTGCTTCATTATACACTGTGTGCACAATTATTAGGTGAGTTTTTTGACCAAATCATCATTTTTATGCATTTTGTCCAACTGCAAGCTCTATAAACTTTAATGCTTATGGATTTATGCATATCTGGTGATGTGTATTTATGTAATGAGGGAGAGTGTGGCCTAAGGAGATTAACACCTTATATCAAGGTGTGCATAATTATTAGGCAGCTACTTTTCCTCAGGCAAAATGGGCCTAAAAAATAGATTTAACTGACTCTGAAAAGTCAAAAACTGTAAAAAGTATTTCAGAGGGATGCAGCATTCTTGAAATTGCTAAGATATTGAGGCGTGATCACAGAACAATCAAACATTTTGTTGCAAATAAGGTTGCAAGAAATGTGTTGAGGAAAAAAGACGCAAATTAATTGCCAAAGATTTGAGAAGAATCAAACTTGAAGCTACCAGGAACCCATTATCCTCCAGTGCTGTCATATTCCAGAACTGCAACCTACCTGTAGTGCCCAAAAGTATAAGGTGTTCAGTGCTCAGAGACATGGCCAAGGTAGGGGAGGCTGAAACCAGACCACCATTGAAAAAGACACATAAATTGAAACATCAAGAATGGGCCAAGAAATATCTGAAGACAGGTTTTTCAAAAGTATTATGGACTGATGAAATGAGAGTGACTCTTGACGGACCAGATGGATGGGCCTGTGGCTGGATCAACCACAGGCACAGAGCTCCATTTCGACTGAGACACCAGCAAGGTAGAGGTGGGGTTTTGGTATGGGCTGGTATTATTACAGTAATAATACCAGCCTATACCAGAACCCCACCTCCACCTTGCTGGCATCTAAGTCGAAGTGGAGCTCTGTGCTCGTTACTGATCCAGCCACAGGCCCATCCATCTGGTCCGTCAAGAGTCACTCTCATTTCATCAGTCCATAATACCTTTGAAAAAACCTGTCTTTAGATATTTCTTGGCCCATTCTTGATGTTTCAACTTATGTGTCTTTTTCAATGGTGGTTGGGTTCCAGACTTCCCTTCCTTGGCCATGTCTCTGAGCACTGAACACCTTGCACTTCTAAGCACTCCAGGTAGATTGCAGTTCTGGAATATGACAACACTGGAGGTTATTGGGTCCCTGGTAGCTTCACATTTGATTTTTCTCAACACGTTTCTTGCGACCCTGTTGACTATTTGTAACAAAACATTTGATTGTTCTGTGATCATGCCACAATATACTTTTTACAATTTTTGACTTTTCAGAGTCA